ATCCAACACCATACCACAACAGATACATCATGTCGCGCAACACACAGGCCTGAACGCTGCAACGATGCACTGTCTATACATGGCTGTCGATAACGCATCGCCGCTTGTGCGTTGGGCCTCTACTTCATACCACTCCTTCTAAGCACCTTGTTGAATGTCCGTGCAAGAATGGATGACAATCCAACACCATACCACAACGGATTCACCATGTCGCGCAACCGTAACGCCCCAATGCTTCAATGTCGCACTGTCTAAACATGGCTGTAGACAACGCATCACCGCTTGTGCGTTGGGCCTCTACTTCATACCACTCCTTCTAAGCACCTTGTTGAATGTCCGTGCAAGAATGGATGATAATCCAACAGCATACCACAACGGATTTACCATGTCGCGCAATACACAGGCCTGAACACTGCAACGATGCACTGTCTAAACATGGCTGTCGATAACGCATCGCCGCTTGTGCGTTGAGCCTGTGCTTCATATCACTCCTTCTAAGCACCTTGTTGAATGTCCGTGCAAGAATGGATGACAATCCAACACCATACCACAACGGATTCACCATGTCGCGCAACCGTAACGCCCCAATGCTTCAATGTCGCACTGTCTAAACATGGCTGTAGACAACGCATCACCACTTGTGCGTTGGGCCTCTACTTCATACCACTCCTTCTAAGCACCTTGTTGAATGTCCGTGCAAGAATGGATGATAATCCAACAGCATACCACAACGGATTTACCATGTCGCGCAATACACAGGCCTGAACACTGCAACGATGCACTGTCTAAACATGGCTGTCGATAACGCATCGCCGCTTGTGCGTTGAGCCTGTGCTTCATATCACTCCTTCTAAGCACCTTGTTGAATGTCCGTGCAAGAATGGATGACAATCCAACACCATACCACAACGGATTCACCATGTCGCGCAACCGTAAGGCCTGAACGCTGCAACGTCGCACTGCCTAAACATCGCTGTCGATAACGCATCGCCGCTTGTGCGTTGAGCCTGTGCTTCGTACCACTCCTTCTAAGCACCTTGTTGAATGTCCGTGCAAGAATGGATGACAATCCAACACCATACCACAACAGATACATCATGTCGCGCAACACACAGGCCTGAACGCTGCAACGAGGCACTGTCTATACATGGCTGTCGATAACGCATCGACGCTTGTGCGTTGGGCCTGTGCTTCATACCACTCCTTCTAAGCACCTTGTTGAATGTCCGTGCAAGAATGGATGACAATCCAACACCATACCACAACGGATTCACCATGTCGCGCAACCGTAACGCCCTAATGCTTCAATGTCGCACTGTCTAAACATGGCTGTAGACAACGCATCACCGCTTGTGCGTTGGGCCTCTACTTCATACCACTCCTTCTAAGCACCTTGTTGAATGTCCGTGCAAGAATGGATGATAATCCAACAGCATACCACAACGGATTTACCATGTCGCGCAATACACAGGCCTGAACACTGCAACGATGCACTGTCTAAACATGGCTGTCGATAACGCATCGCCGCTTGTGCGTTGAGCCTGTGCTTCATATCACTACTTCTAAGCACTTTGTTGAATGTCCGTGCAAGAGTGGATGACAATCCAACACCATACAACAACGGATTCACCATGTCGCGCAACACACATGCCTGAATGCTGCAACGATGCACTGTCTAAACATGGCTGTGGATAACGCATCGCCGCTTGTGCGTTGAGCCTTTGCTTCATACCACTCCTTCTAAGCACCTTGTTGAATGTCCGTGCAAGAATGGATGACAATCCAACACCATACCACAACGGATTCACCATGTCGCGCAACCGTAACGCCCCAATGCTTCAATGTCGCATTGTCTAAACATGGCTGTAGACAACGCATCACCGCTTGTGCGTTGGGCCTCTACTTCATACCACTCCTTCTAAGCACCTTGTTGAATGTCCGTGCAAGAATGGATGATAATCCAACAGCATACCACAACGGATTTACCATGTCGCGCAATACACAGGCCTGAACACTGCAACGATGCACTGTCTAAACATGGCTGTCGATAACGCATCGCCGCTTGTGCGTTGAGCCTGTGCTTCGTATCACTCCTTCTAAGCACCTTGTTGAATGTCCGTGCAAGAATGGATGACAATCCAACACCATACCACAACGGATTCACCATGTCGCGCAACCGTAAGGCCTGAACGCTGCAACGTCGCACTGCCTAAACATCGCTGTCGATAACGCATCGCCGCTTGTGCGTTGAGCCTGTGCTTCGTACCACTCCTTCTAAGCACCTTGTTGAATGTCCGTGCAAGAATGGATGACAATCCAACACCATACCACAACAGATACATCATGTCGCGCAACACACAGGCCTGAACGCTGCAACGAGGCACTGTCTATACATGGCTGTCGATAACGCACCGCCGCTTGTGCGTTGGGCCTGTGCTTCATACCACTCCTTCTAAGCACCTTGTTGAATGTCCGTGCAAGAATGGATGACAATCCAACACCATACCACAACAGATACATCATGTCGCGCAACACTCAGGCCTGAACGCTGCAACGATGCACTGTCTATACATGGCTGTCGATAACGCATCGCCGCTTGTGCGTTGGGCCTGTGCTTCATACCACTCCTTCTAAGCACCTTGTTGAATGTCCGTGCAAGAATGGATGACAATCCAACACCATACCACAACGGATTCACCATGTCGCGCAACCGTAACGCCCTAATGCTTCAATGTCGCACTGTCTAAACATGGCTGTAGACAACGCATCACCGCTTGTGCGTTGGGCCTCTACTTCATACCACTCCTTCTAAGCACCTTGTTGAATGTCCGTGCAAGAATGGATGATAATCCAATAGCATACCACAACAGATTTACCATGTCGCGCAATACACAGGCCTGAACACTGCAACGATGCACTGTCTAAACATGGCTGTCGATAACGCATCGCCGCTTGTGCGTTGAGCCTGTGCTTCATATCACTCCTTCTAAGCACTTTGTTGAATGTCCGTGCAAGAATGGATGACAATCCAACACCATACAACAACGGATTCACCATGTCGCGCAACACACATGCCTGAATGCTGCAACGATGCACTGTCTAAACATGGCTGTGGATAACGCATCGCCGCTTGTGCGTTGAGCCTTTGCTTCATACCACTCCTTCTAAGCACCTTGTTGAATGTCCGTGCAAGAATGGATGACAATCCAACACCATACCACAACGGATTCACCATGTCGCGCAACACACAGGCCTGAATGCTGCAATGTCGCATTGTCTAAACATGGCTGTCGATAACGCATCACCGCTTGTGCGTTGGGCCTGTGCTACAAACCAATCTAAGCACCTTGTTGAATGTCCGTGCAAGAATGGATGAGAATTCAACACCATACCACAACGGATTTACCATGTCGCGCAACACACAGGCCCGAACGCTCCAACGTCGCACTGTCTAAACATGGCTGACGATAACGCATCACCGCTTATGCGTTGGGCCTGTGCTTTATACCACTCCTTTTAAGCACCGTGTTGAATGTCCGTGCAAGGATGGATAAGAGTCCAACACCATACCACAACTGTTTCTCGTTTGTTACTATTCATCGTCGTGTTAGAATATCGCCTGCTGGCGAGTACGCGTTGTGGCAAAGCCTACAAGTGCGCAGTACTATTGTCACAAGTAATACTTCTGGATGCTCTTTGTGTGTGTCACATGAGACAAAGTGCGCATTTCAAACGATTCCTCCCGCAACATAAGCACCAGCCAAGTGTTACTACTGCCATTGAGCGGCTGAGATCAAGCGGTAGGTGGGTCTATGCTTGGGTGGCTACACGTACACCGTCCAATATAGCCTGATAGGGTTACGGTAATCTTTCTAGTCTCGTAACCCACCCCAACCACCCTCGTGCCCCACCCACCTGCTTTCGTCACCCTCTGGGCCAACACTTTGACGCTGCTCGTTGTTTGACACATGCATCTCCAAATCGCCATCTCACCAGTACACTAAGCCATGGGCCGTAGCTCTGTGCTTAGTGCCTACTATTTCATTTTGAGTTGAACCTGCGGCTTTCGGAAAAAGATAACAGTGATAGACTGTCGATAATCCCTTTGTGGGATTCAGTTGCACCTCTTCGAAATTGGCTCACCCGTTCCGCGCGATAGAAATTTGCATTCCTACACCAACCATGACACGTGCAACACGTCAAAAAGCAATGAAGGAGGAACAGGCTGGACACCGCGCGACAAGGATGATGACTAAACAGACCGATAGGGAGGGTGGTGTGCGTCCGTCGCGCGTGGCATTGGGCTGAAAAAAATGGCGGCAAAGAAGGTCGGGCGCGGTCAAGAGAAGTCTGACAAGAAGACAAGGGGAAGCAACCAACACCACCAAAGCGTGTTTCTACAGTGAACAAAGATGCGGATGTTGCCTCTGCTGGAACCAAGCCCGGTCCGACTAACGACGGCACCTGTGGCGGCAACGAAGATCCGGGGCGAGGGAGCGCGAGTCTTGCAGTCCCGTCAGCGGAGAGAGAGGGATCAGCGACAGGGGGAAGCTTCGGAGGTGATCCCCGCGCCGAGCATGCCGCAACCAAGGAGTTCGAGGCGCAGACATCGCAACACCATCTGACGCTGCTCCAGCCGACCGTGGTCGAAATTTCTGCTGCCGTGCTGGATAAGAACAAAGTGGGGGAGCGCGAGTCGATGGAGGATCCTAACCACAGCTTCGCCGACGTCGGCAGCTCTCCTCCTCCTGGTGGACGCGGAGGCATAGGCAGAGGAAGAGTGATGTGGAGGACGATTATGACACTGCCGTGCCCAGGGACATCAACACGCAAACGAAGAGGCGGCAAACGACATGCAGTGCTGACGACGCAGGTGGCGCTCTGGGACAACACGAGGCGCCAGTGAAGCTAGTGGCAAGGCAACGAGTCATGCATTGCGCCAGAAGGGCCGACCCGCAGCAAGAAAAACATCCGGCGGAAGGAGGGGCAAGAAAGCAGCGATGGGGACGGGGCCGAAACGGGGCGATGAAGACCCTGGTGATGCGGAGGAGGAGGATGATGATGAGGAGGATGCGGAGGAAGAGGAGGATGAAGAGGATGCGGAGGAGGATGACGCGGATGTTGGGGAGGATGAAAAATATGAGAATGATGGCAGCGGCGGAGGAGGAGGAGGAGGAGGAGGAGGAGGAGGAGGAGGGGGAGGAGGAGGAGGAGGAGGAGGAGGAGGAGGGGGACGACAAGGAGGAGGATGAGGAGGAGGAGGAGGAGGAGGAGGAGGAGCAGCAGGAGGAGGAGGAGAAGGAGGAGGAGGAGGAGGAGGAGGAGGAGGAGGAGGAGGAGGAGGAGGAGGAGGATGTGGCGGTAGTGAAGGGACGGGGCGGGCGAGGCAAACGTGTGAGTGGTACAGGGAAGGTGGGGGGCCGGAGTCGCCATTCCCGAAAACGCGGGGCAGTCGACGCCGCGCACGGTGAAGCAGCGGGCAAACCGAAGTCGTGTAAGGTGAAGGTTGCAAGTGAAGGGGTGGTAAAAAGCAAGGGAGCCAGGGAGTAAAAGGAAATGAAGGAGGAAAGGGTGGCCACGCCAAAGGGGTTCCAGTGGGTACCGGCAAGAAAGAACCTGCCGGTAAGCGTCGCAGCGGCCGCCAAAGCACCCCGCGGAAAGGAGGCAACAAGAAGGCGTAGGCAGCAAAAAAAACGAAGGGACAGCAGAAAGGTGAGCACTGTGGCCAATACACATGACGTGGTCGTTGTAGTCTCTGCTCAACTGTGTCACATAACACCATTCTTCACATTGTTCCTCCCCTATAGGGAAGGAGAAGGTCGACGAATCTGCAAAGCAAGGTAAAGCCTATTGCCTCAAAACAGTACAACCCGTAACCCGATTTAGATACCGTTGATCTCATGCATGCATGTCTGGCTGTGTATTGAAACCGATCGACTCTAATTTCTTGATCCTACTCCCTCTAAATCTTAGCCTCTCGCGTTACAAGCATTGGGCCACCGGTAAGCGTGCAACGGATGCAGCTAACGAAAGGGGCCGGAAGAGCGAGTGTTACACCGCTATCCACACAAGCACCAAGGTTCTACACGCCTTACTCCGGCCCGAGCAAAGTCGCTGCGACGGTACCCGGCGCGCCAAGAGGAAAGGAATCCAAATCCCCTCCACCAGCCCCTTTCACGCACTCCCCGCTCGCCTCACCCTCGTACCCATTTCGGCAACTCCACGCTTCTCCTGTCCGGGGCATGACGGTCTCCCCCCTCGCCAGTCCTTCGCGCGGGCATCAGCCAAGCACTTCTGCCAATTTTTTCCCTGAGCTCCCATTTTCCCGCCAGCGTGATAGTGTGAGGGCACACGGGACTGCTGCAGAAGACGTTGAATCCCTTGGCCAGAGGGGGTATTCTTCATACCCTTTTCCTCCGCTCATGGGTGCCCTAGGTGAAAGTGCGGAGAACGAACAATCTGTTACACGGGAGGAGTTCCAGGCGCTGCGGTCTGAGATGTACGCCATGTTTGCACAGCTCGTGGAGTACCTGCCAGTTCTGCCGGTGGTTCCGCAGCCGTGCCTATGGCTGGTACCCCGCAGCTGATGAGTGCCGTGGACAAGGCACGAATGCTAGTGTTGCAGGAGATAAACCCAATCCCAGTATGTGGCGGGCCAAATGGGGCGGGTAGGGGCTGACGTGGTGGTTTCAAAGGGTACACGAGAGCGGCGCATGACGAGGCGACGTGTGTCAAGTGGGTGAGGGGTGACGTGGCATGGGGTGGTTGGGTGTGACGTGGCACGTGGGGTTGGTTGTTGGTGGACATGGCGGATGCAGGAGGGTGAACGTGGCGGGATGTGAGGGTTGGGGATGACGTGGCAGTTTCGAAGGGTACATGGGAGCAGTGCATGACGAGGCAACGTGTGTCAGGTGGGTGGGGGGTGACGTGGCATGGGGTGGGTGGGTGTGACGTGGCACGTGAGGCTGGTTGTTGGTGGACGTGGCGGATGCATCAGGGTGTGACATGGCGGGATGTGAGGGTCGGGGCTGACGTGGTGATTTCGAAGGGTACACGGGAGCAGCACGTGACGAGGCGACGCTTGTCAGGTGGGTGGGGGGTGACGTGGCATGGGGTGGGTGGGTGTGACGTGGCATGTGGGGCTGGTTGTTGGCGGATGCAGGAGGGTGTCACGTGGCGGGATGTGAGGTTTGTGGATGACGTGGCGGCTTGGAAGGGTACAAATCACCTTGCGGTGTTCCTCACCCTGACTCTCACCCCCCCACATGATTTCTCTGCAACCCCTTTCCGACCCATACCCTCCTTGCCAAAATGCAAAACAGGGGGCCCTCAACTAGCACTTTGACAAAGTTACCGGGACGCCCTTCAGCAGCCACTTGTTCGCTTATGCGTTCAAGCTCTCCTTCAAAAGGGGCAGGGTCGTGTTCACCAAGTTCAAGAGCCGCATGGTGGCATGGGGCCTGTTTTCGGTAAGGATGTAGATATGTGTTTGTACACCCATGCCTCATCCCCTAAACTCCTTGGTCGCTTAAGCGTTTGCGGTTTCGTAGATAGTGAAGTTTGAAATCACCGCTTTCCGTAGATCTTTGAAGCTTTCTTTTTCTCTTCAACTATATCCATAACTCCCCCTCATACACCATCCACCCAACCCTACACCACATTGCAGATCGAGTGGCCCCTTCTGCAAAAATAAGCGTCGCAAGCGAATTCTGGCCCAGCCGGAACAAAACAGACCGGACTACTTCGAGTGGTGTAATAAGGTGAAACAGATGATACACTTTGCTGTCGTGGAGCAGAGAATCCCACACGATCCGGCTCAGGGTGCGTTCATCTTTCCAAACAAGGTCCTCATCAACGATGGTGACCTTGGGGAGGTCGCCCTTCTTTAAAACACATCTTTCGGTGTAAAGCTCGTGTGCCAAATTGGAACTTGACCTGAGCCAAACCTTGTCGCAAGATGCGTGTCGGAGCTCCTATCAAATGACTCCAACTTTCGGTCGAAATTGGGTCCGGTTTTTTTTGTACGTGAAGACAATCCCAATCAAAATTTGTACAAACTTGGCATAGGGTTTTGATTGTACGAAAATCAACTCACCTCCGTTCCCTCCTTGCCCCTGGCTGCTCGTGCCCCTGTCCTTGGTTTCTCCCCTCTCTGCGCCACGTTTCTTCCCTCCCTGTGCTTACCATGTAACCCCTCTGCCCCTCCTTTGTTTTCCCCGCACCCATCGACTCTCCCATCCCTGCCCTTTCTTTCCTGCACCTCTGCCCTTGTTCCCTACCATCCATGCCCCTCGGTGTTGAAGAGAAAGGCCCCGCTTTCGCTTAGGCGCAGCCGATCTCGCCATCGACGGGAAGTTCTTGACGGATTGGTCAAAGTAGTGGGCTTCTGCAGTTCGACGGAAGTTGCAGTCAAGCACGCTCTGCTCGACAGAATCTGGTCAACGAGCTCTGCGAGATGAGCTCTGGTCGACGATCTGTGTGCGACAATCTCCTGTCGAAGAGCGCTGATCGAAGAACTCTGTCGAAGAGTTTTGGTCGAGCTGCTCTGCTCGGCGAACTTTGTTGGACCGAGCAGAGTGTTATAGTCACAATAGGCTTCAATGTGCCTAAAACGAAAGATAGAGTGCACCGTCGAATTTCTGCACTGCGGTTTTAAACGATCATAGCGATCTGGTCACAGCTCCAATTGACCTCATTCAACTTGGATCTGGAGCGCCTTAACGTCGCCTACAATAGGCAATTTAGATCGCACAATTTCATTAAGAATTGACGACACAGCGCCGGTTTTAACGAACGGCACTATGGCAGCAACTTAGTCTTAGAAGACACAATGACGAGCATCTAGGAAGAGTTGGGAGTTGGGAAGGACTCCCAGCTCCTACAAACCCCAAGAGCCGAGGTACAGTGATGGGGAACAGTGCCACACTGTCCCCAACCAAGAAGGGTCTCGAAACTACCCTCCACAAGGGCCTACACCCATAGAAATGTTACACTACACTTTGTAATGTAACTATCTTCAATATCTTGAGGTGTACCCTTTTGGCCAGCTTCGAAATCACTTGAAGCTTGCAACCAAGGCTCGGGTTCTTCATCACAAACTCAACCTTGAGTTCTTGATGGGTCTGCTGCACACACCTGCGACACGCCGAACGTTCGACAAGCGACAAAATAGAAAACCGCGCACAACAAAATAGAAACCGCGCGGGACACACAAAATAACCGCGTAATACGCGGCTAGCGATAACTCGCTATTGACTCGACACACACACTTGACATCATGACCCATCATTCACACACCATTATAAGCATGAAATATATATTTATTTCATGCACTCATACCACTCCATGCACACACGCATGCACGCACACGCACACGGAGACCAAGGCGAGTGCAAACCGTAGGGTTGCACCAACACAGAGTTGAGCTGATCGACCGAAATTGCAGAGTTGTGCGAAACTCTACGAAGGCGTGCAAACTTTCGAACAGGAGGTTTTGGCGAAGTTTTACCTGCAGAACGACATCACTTGGTCGACAGTGCGCACCTGGTGAAACGGCTGCCCCGTCGTCTTCACATAACGCAACTCAACTTCACCCGCGGCCACCATGCTCCTCGTCCAGTGCCACTTCACCCTCATGTGCTTGGTCAGGCCGTGTAACACAGGGTTCTTGGCTAGAGCTATGGCTCCCTGGCTGTCACAATAGAGAGGGGTTGGTCCTTGCTGCTCCTCCCCCAATTCAGCCAACAAACGCCGCTGCCACACAATCTCCCGTACGGCACGGAAGAGTGCCATGTACTCGGATTCCACCGAGCTCAAAGCTTGGTCAACCTGCTTCTTGCTTTCCCAAGCAGTTGGGCCTCCACCAACACAGCATATGAAGCCTCCCACACTTGTCATATCCTCTGGTTCCGATGCATAGGATGCATCCGAGAATGCGGTGAGGAACAAACGCCCGGGTTCCACACCATCCGCGCCCTTTTGGCGCCTTTGTGCCGCCGCCGAGTATTGCAGCCCAACGGTCGGTGTTTGGCCAAGATACTTGGCCACCCTCATTCCAGCTGCTACCTGCTCCTCATTAGGGCATTGCACCACCCTAGCCAGCTGCCCAAGTCTAGCATTGCACGTCGGCCTCTGCGTCGTCGAGCAGAGTGCTGTAGGCTGTCGGCGCTAGACAAGAATGGTAGCTCAGCTTCTCCGGCGGCTTGCCAATGTTGGAGCGGGCAAGTAGAACGGCGTGGTTTCTTCTTTTCGACCGAGACCTCTACCACGTCGTCGTATTCATACTGATCCTCTGTTGGCAGCTTCTCTACCGACTGCTTCCCTGTAATTGGCTTCTCTGCCAACGGCTCCCTTGAAGTTGGTGCCTCAGCTGATGGCTTCTCTGTAGTCTCCTTCGGTGCCTGGCAGCTCCTTCTCCGCATGTGGCGCCTCTGCCGATGGCTATTCTGAAGTCGGCTTTGACGCCGACAGTTCCCCTGTCGTCTGCCGCCTTCCGTCGCCGACCTTCTCGGTGTCACGTTGGCCACCGGCGATGCAAAGGGTCGGCGCCG